AAAGTGAGTTTTGTATCTAGGGCAGGGCCTTCGACACGGGGGGCAGGGGGCAATACCCCTCCCCCTAATAATTTGCGAAAATTGTGTTTGAGGATCTTGTAAGCGCAGCTTGATCTGACACTATTTCGCAAGGCAGATATAGAAAAAGCTTTATTTCTATCCATGCCCCCATCCCTTCCCAATCTAGCTTAGCCGTCTACGGGCCTGACCCAGGGTTCAAAGTTCGTTCAAAGCTTTTCGGGCATAGACAATAGAGTTTATTGCTTTGTTTAGAGTTGTGCTATTGTTCTATTGTTTGTTTTCCGGGCCAAAAATGTAGAGGGGAGCCATAGAGCTTCTTCTATATTGTAAACAAATTGAACGTTTCAGTTGCTTTCTTTTGCATGGCGCCTTAATATAAATATCTTTATATTTTGATTTTTCTACGGTAATGTCTACTTGTTACTTGAGTAGAAAAATTTCAAAAGTAAAGAATTTAAAGTAGTGAAATTTAGCCAGCATTTATTTATTTCTCAGTTATCAAGTGGGCTATTGAGGTCACACATGAATGGAAATGTAAAAACGTAATATTGGTTCATTCAAAGATCTGGTTCTGGCAGAAATTAGCTATGATATTTTAGAATTACCCAGAATAAAAGGTGGGGGTACAGCTCACCTTTTAAAAAATAAAAGGTAGGCTGAGCCCCCTGAGCCACCTCTTTTACATCCCTTGTTCCAGCCCCTTTCTCTAACCATGGAAACAAACACACGTTTTGGAATTAGAGCAAAACAAATTAAAACCAGCTACCTTGTGCGCATCCCGTGCGCGCACTTATACCCTGTGCTCCGTCGCTCACGTTCTCATTTCCTGTTTTGTCGCTGACTGGATTACAATGCTTGAAAATGAGACTTGAATACCCAATCAGTTTCAGTTAACTATTGATCTTTGTTCCATTCAGGGCTGAAGAAATAGCCAAGTGGCATTTGTTTCCCCGAATTAATGTTAAAAATTAGCTCAGCCACCCTAAATTCTAAAATACAGCTTAAGTTCAAAATTCAAAAAGTTCATCCTATAGAGAATAATTAAATACTTTTTGAAACTTTTTTAGCGCTCCAAGACTTTTGACCGACAGACATTGTAGCATTGATCATGCACCAGGGTCGCCAGGTGGTATGGGTACTAAGTAGCCAAACCGTTTATGAAAATAGGCCAAATCAGGTCAAAACAGGCCAAATTTATCCATAACACAATGACGTCATCATGCGCAGGCGCAGAAAAAACAAGCTTAGTTTGCAGTATATCCGTTGCCCTTTCCATCAGCAGATTCTGTAAGCCAAACATATTGCGCTTCCTAAGACTTCTTGTACTTCCTTGCTCTGTAATATCTACCTTGCTACTTGGTCGACATAGATTAGAAACTCGAGAAAATAAAGGGTAGATCAATCTCTGCGATTATAAAATCATTAACTATCTATTGTAACTTTTTACAAATGGGTAGATCAATCTCTGCGATTATGAATGCTATTGATTACTAAAAAATTGCCAATTCTATTTTAAAAATGAGTTTGACAAAAGCAAACATTTTGAGTCACACTAAAGCTTCTTGTCAAGCACTCTTCAGAGTATAAAACGTTAGAACGTAGATCGAAAACGTTTACATTTTTGTACCACCAAAAGATTGTTTGCAAATACAATATAAATTATCCATGGGCACCGACACAGGTTGAAAAAGAGGAGGAGGGGGAGCTAAGGGAAACTTTAACAGCCCTGGCAGGAGATTTTGAAAAATCTCTATTATTTTGAAGGAAAATGGGGGGCATGGCCACTCGGCCCCCCATTCGTCGGAGGCCCAGTTATCAAAGGAAATACTCAAAAAGTAGGTCATTCAAATGTTGAAAAAATAAGCAATAACAAAGACTTCACGTCATTAAATGAGAAATTCAGACATTGATCCATTCGGAATGAATCAATCTGATCCATTTGGAATAAATCAATGCCACCTCAAGTGTCTGTCAGATTCATGGACATATTATGATTATCCATTTTATGATTTTATGGGGTTTTAATCTCATTTTCGAACATTCCTTTAGGAGGCCAAAAAATGCCAAAATAAGGCAGGAGACCAAAGGTAAAATTTCGTAGCCAAAAATTCTTAAAAAAGGCCAGATTTCTCAAACTTCGCCTTCCAGTAGGCCAGTTGGCAACCCTGTCATGAACGCATACTATCAAATTCATTCTACGCCAGCCTCTTTCCAGCATGATAGCACCAAATTTGCCAAAAGATTTTTATGTTTTCCTACATTCACAAAGCGAGAAAGAGAATTTTGCGAGTCACCCTGTCAGTAGAACAATGCAGGAAGCATTTAAAGAATAGATGAACACAACAATTTTGTGGGCGATTTAGCTACTCATTCTCCCAGGCACGCCGGAGTCGGGGTGGGGGGGGGGGGGGGGGAGGGGGGGGGCTGTAGTCTCCAAATATTTTCTCCTGAGGCATGCTATTGATATATAACTTTTTTATGGGTCCTATTGACTAACAGAGGTCAGCTAGCTATGTTGTTAAAAACTCGACGTTTCGAGCATGTACTCGTTATCAAGTCATAAATTTATTTGCCAACTATGTTATCGTTATTCTGGATGAAGTACCACACCAGCTAGCTATGTCATGGATTTTCACAAAATTTCGGTATTCTGGGATTTTTTCAAAATTCAACTATTTCTTAACTCTTTACTTAACTTCTTTACTAATCTTTACACGGCATTGGTAACAGTATTTACTTATTGTAAGTTTTCCAGAGGAATGAGGGAGCAATAAGGGGTGGTCGTTTGAGCAAACACGTCTTGCAATGCACACGTTCATCAGTTGAAATAGTGGCAACCTTGTTTAAATTACTACCAAACTTATCAGCGTAATAACTTTATAAGTTAAAATTTTCTGAAGAACTGGAGGGCATGGCAAAATAAAAATGTTCCGGGGGCTGTGTCCACTAGCCCCCTTTATCGTGCAGCAGCCAGGGTTAGTTGTGGATCTGCCCCTGGGTTAGAGTGCATCTGACGTCAGAGGTATTGAGCAGTAAAGGTCAGAGTGACCAACAGAGGTCAGGGTGTCCTTATTTTCGTACACCTGGAAACATTACCTGGTCAGAAATAAGCCCGTAGCCAGGCCTTTGGCGTAGGGGTGGCAAATGCAGGCGAGTTTTGTGTAGGGAGGGGAGCAGGGTGCGGAGAGTTGGTGGAAGCAAAGAAGTGAAATAGTTGTAAAATGTTTCCACTAAATTTCTAATCAGCTAGAAAATTTTTAAGATTACATTTTCAAAATGCGAGACATGCAAGCTTGTTCTCCCTCTCTGTCCATAAAGAACTTCGCTAAGAGGAATCTATCCTTATCTATGCAGCATTTTTCAAAGTCTCTATGTGTTGATGTGAAGCAAGGAGTAACTGCAACTTTTAGAAATTGATTAAAAGGGAGTATCGGCTAGATGAGCTCGCTTTCTGGCCACTTCACATCGAGAGAAGCATTCGAGAGAAGATTTGCACACTGCTTGGAGAAAACACATCAAGCTCCTCGAATGTTTTCTCCAGAACAGAGAATATTTACGCTGCATATTTGTACAGAGGTATCAAGGTCTCGTAATAAAAGCCCTAAACAATTTTCCTTCTGTCAGAGTTATCTTGACTCAAATTGTCATGACAATCCAATGAAAACGACGGAAAAGCCCATTGAGAAAGTTGGAGAGAATATATACGGGTGGCAAACAGCTGGTACTCTCTTGCTCCAGGAGTGGCATTGCCACCCCATGCCACCCCTTGGCTACGAGCCTGGTTAGAAACAAAATATTTAGATAATTTTGCAGCATCTCTTAAAATTTGCAGCATCAGATGTTTTTGCCCTTAGCATTTTTCTATCCAGTACTAGAAATTCCCTACGTTTTTGCCGAGCCGAGAACTACCTTCCTTATAAAGTACTTCCATATAAATAAGCGTGTATTCCAATTAATAATACTGTTGATACAATTAATAATAGTCAACAATTTTTGGCGGTACAGAACTCGAAAATTGCTTTGAAAAAAACAAACATTTTACAACATACTACTAAAAGCTTTTTCGTCTGACACTCCTCAGAGTATAAAACGTCTTTTTCTGACATTTTTGTATCAAACATGAACAGGCCTAGTGTATGACCCCCAGCGAAGGGGCCTGGGGGCATGTCCCCGATTTGTTTGAAAAAAAGAGAGCTTTTTCAATGTTTTGCTAAATTTCTAGAAGGGGCTTCTGTGCTCAGCAGTTGGTAAATTAAATTTTTGTAACCTTACACAATTTGAATTGCTGAAAAAAATAAAATAGTCCCCACCCTCAGAAATACCTCTTGTACTATTTTTAGAATGATTGCCCTGTGCCCAGCACTCAGAATACGCTAATTTTTTGTCGGAGTCTAGGCATGTTTTTATGTTGTTCTTATTTGGCGTTATATTGCGGACGGAGTCAACATCCTTGCGTCGCTTTTACTTTTCATTATCAATTCTTCAGGTACAAACTGCTTAAAGGTAGTGTCGGGCAAAGCAATGGCAAAATAAAGTATTTTAATAAATTTTGTTAGAGCAAGGGACAACCGCTCCTGTAAGTCCACGTGCTGCGGCATTCCTGGGCGATTTCTCCTCTACATTTTAACTGCAGTGCCAGCTGTTCTGTAGTGTGAAGTTAAGTTTGTTCAGACCAAGCTGTTTGTACCGGTTTTTATACCCTGTGTTTTATGTAGGATAGGCCCTTATTCCTTCCTAATGTCAAGCTCTAGCTTGGCAATTCTAGAATTTTCATGTCTCGGGGAAAAGGACAATGTGCGACATCAGTTTTGACAGAAAAAGTGCTACAAGCATTGTCTGCTCGCTATGTGGTGATAATGGTATCCATGGTTTTGGCAAGTAAACTTGAATAGGGTTGATATTTATAACAAAAGATCGGGTGTAACTCAGGATGACTGCCTTTGTGTGTTAAAAACATTTATGTAATCCTTAATTCACAAAGCAAGACAAGGGCATTTCATCCAATTTGAGCTCGACCTGTCAATTCTTCGTTTACTCGAAAGCTTCGATCAAGGAATTCTTTCATTTGAATAACAATATAGACTATTGAAAAGCGGAATTCTGATAGTTTTCGTTGGCATTCGAGTTGGTTTTACTGTTGTCTTGCATCGGTCCATAAAAGATTTTGGGCGTAAACACAGGGCTGAGACGTGCTAAAGAAATGGCTTCTACATCAAAAACAGACTGGGTAGGTTTGTCATCGGTGCCTTCTCTAAACACATAGCTTCATGTTTTGAGCACACTTTGGGCATCCTAGATTTGAGATTAAACTTCCACTGGCCGTACGCAGAACATAAGCAAGAGCGCTAGTATTTATAGCAATAATTTGGATGTCATCAGAAGGGCCACATAATTAAAGATTCAAGAAACGAGGCCTAATTTTGTTATTCATTGTGTTGAAATGGCACAAATCTAGTGAGTTTGGCTCTTGATACCCCTCGATAAAACAGAGTTTGCGTTTCCAGGTAAATCTATGTTAACTCTTTATAAAGAACACAGAACAGTTTTCCTCAAATAGGATTCTGTGCAAATGAAACACGTTTTGAACAGATCAAGATAAGGTGGGACACACAAGAAAAACAATAGATGACCCTAAATCAAGTCATAATTCCAATTAAACTACAGTATTTCATAAATCTAATGACAAGCTATCATGCCAGTTTGGCAAAGATTTTTATAACTTGCTTCATGGAATTGAGGAAACTCCATAGCAACGAGCCACAAAATTTCGAGCGCGTAGATAGAAAGCCAAGCGGAGAAGTGGATGAGCTTCTAGCCGAGAAGAAAGGAAAAGTGTTTTCCTACTCCTTATTTACTTTTCTTTCTTCTCGGATAGACGGTCTTCCGCGTCTCCAGTCCTATCTTCTATTTCCGCTCTCGAATTTTTTGTTGTTGTTTTCGATCGTGTTTGGTATATTTCCAAAGGTGCTTATTAAAATTTTGGCAGTTACATTCTAATTGTTTCATTTTTCCATAACATAGTTAATTATAGTAGTCAAAGATTCAAATATTTGTGATAAATGTGTCTGGTGATTTTTATGAGATTAATGTAATTTGTTGTGACTAATTTGTATGTAAAATGTGACTTTTTCGAGAGCATGCCTGATTTCAAACAGTAGTGAGGGGTGAATCATCCTAAAAAGAGTCTCGTTACCAATGGTGGAAATCTTATTTTTTTTGGCTGAAAATTCCTGGAAATCCTTTTGATTTTGAGAAAATCTCGCACGTTATTTGCAAGAGTAAACATCCTCTTGTACTCGACGAAATTGGAATCGAGTTATAACAATCCTCCATATCCCTCCACCATGTCCGTCCGTCGTGTCCGTCCGCCATGTCCTTCCGCCATGTCCATCCGCCATGTCCGTCCGCCATGTCCGTCCGCCATGTCCATCCGTCATGTCCGTCCGTCACATCCGCCTGCCATATATTAATATGACATATCTTTTTACTGGTCAAATGTGATAATCAAGAATTTTGAACTTTAACAAAAAGTCCTGTCCGCTGCATATTTGAAATTTCGTAATAAAAGAAGCTCAAGTACCCCAAAAAGGAGGTCATATAAGAAGATGATAAATATGAAAACTTTTTAGCCCTCGTTAAAGCACATGCGATGCTTCACCTACCCCCGAAAAATGTTCAATTTGGAGAATAATAAACTTCAGAAATAAACAAAGGACGATTTTACCGAAGGTCTATCAGAACCCAAACTGTCGAGAAACCCTCTTGCTGAATATTTTCTCTGTTTCTTCTAAACCGAAAATTACTGTTTTATTTGCTTTGGTAATAGTATTTTATCAGAAGAAATAATGATAAATGTCCTGGATATCGTCCCAAAAGGGAGACAAAGGCAAATTTGTTTTGCGGGCAGACAGTACAATGTGGTACTCTCCTCTGGAATGTAATTCGACCACTCTTGTATTCGAGTGAATGATTTTAGGGTGTTTAGAAAAACTACGATGGGACCTAGAGCAAGGGATGAAATCGAATCATTTCATTTCCTTCAATTACAACTTATTCAGTATATATTTTGTTAATCGATTTTATAAATGAGAAAACATCAACCATAACGCACAAAAAATGAAGAATTAACTTTTTAGCGGCGCGAATAGCTAAACTTTTACGATAAATTGAACCTCGTTTGAGCTTAGTGAATCAATCAGTCGACCAATCAATCTATCTCATGGATATATAATGATAACATAAGGTGTTTTATATATCTTTTAATATGAAGTTGCCAGCAGTATATCCGGTTAAAATATGAAGTTGGCAGGGGATCCGGTTAAAATATGGTTCCGCCCTTTTATTGTGAAAGAAAAATCTATATCAAATAATGAATATCCTAGAAGATTGATATCCTAGTATTTTTTTATCTGTTATTATTCATCTTTTCCCAGTTATTTTGGATTTTTTCCTCCAAAAATCCACACTGCGATTCCCTTGAACCGTATTACATTGCAATGAAATTTTTCGTTGAATTGCCTCGATTTGAGGCTTGATTTGGTCTCGATTTTCCTGAAAATGACAATTTGTGTTTGTCATCGCCTAATCAATGTTAATCTTTTCATTGCAGGCTACCAAACTGACAAGCGAGCAACTTGAAGGTAAGTTCCGCATTTGTTGTTGAGATCAGTCGCTAATAAACGGGCTAGAACTCATGCTCATGATGAGTCATGCTCAAATTTGACAAATTCTTCTGATGGAGTTAGTTAGTTAGGTTTTCCCTCTTCTATGGAACTGAAGCCACGACCCCTCTTGGCAAAACGCAATCATTTTTTAATCCCGATACTGACAAAATCTATATGCCAAAATGACGTTTTACAATGATAAAATTAGCTATTGTAATTTGGATGAAGAGAATTATTTGAAGTTGGGATTTGGATGGCACTTAGTGCTTTCTTCTTGCGGTACGATGCTCTCTTGATTGAAATGAAAGAGAGAGTTTGTCTTATTGGTTACAACTGAATGAGACTAGTCCATCCGAACACGTTGTTATAAATTTGATACGACTGGCAACACCCAAACTGGAATCAAATTTCCAAGTAGAAATCCGGGGGAATACAACATCTGCTCTATAAGAGGAAAATAAATGTTTTCTTGGAAATAAAATCGAATTTTATTCCAAAGGAGATAAAGACTCCAATTTTGTCATTCCGCTTCGTTTTCTAGTCAGAAGGTCTTAAAAAATTAATTTATTAGGTCTTTTCCCATCGTTTGAATGCATTACTGCTAGATATATGTACCTGCACAAATGACACTATTTTAATTTCAAGTTTTTTATATTTCACGTTTTTATAAGGAACCCAGTCCAAGTCCTAGTTTCTTAAGTTCCTTATTTTTCTATCTCTGTGCCCTGAAAAAAGCACGACTCATCAAAGCCAACCAAATGCGGAATTTTACTGTGAATCTTACTTTGCTTCACTGAAATTCTTTCTCTTCGAACTAAGCGTTGCTGTGCCCAAATGCAGGGCCGCCAATTGCCCCGTTTTTGCAAGGACTTCATAGCCCATAGTCCATGCTTGTAAATATACTCTATTTTGGCCTATTTAGACGTCCCTATGGCTTTGTTTCCCGTGATCAATCTTTTTTATTATCAAACGATAGTGCACGGTGCCTCTCCAACTATTGCATGCTTCCTACTGTACTGGAAAATTTGCAGGTTTTGCTCATAATGTTGCAAAGCTATTCGCTAAGCAACCTTTTGGCGATAAGTTTTCATATCATCCTGTTTTAGAGCCATTTTGCTTGGCATGCATGCCACAAACCACTATCTCCACATAATTGTTTGGTGTGCGAGATTTTAGATTTTGCTTTAGCGAGCAATTTGGCTCAAAACCTTTCCTCTGGAATAGGAATGATATCCATCTAAAAGTTTTATATTTTTTTTATCTCCATTCATTGATAATTTTGTTTTGTCACGTTCACATTACACTTGAAAGGTTTATAGATTAACAAGAGCGAATTCAAATCAGCTGCTCAAGAATGCTTCACTGAGGCCTGAAACTAGTAAATGTTCAATTTTGTTCAGCATTGGATGCTTGATAATGCTAATTGATTGAATGAATATCGCTTACTTTCTACTTGTTTGCTTAAAATCCTGAAATGTGTTCAGAGCAACGGTAAAACAAAGTACCATCTCAGAGAAACAAAATTAATTTTTTTTCTTTTATTTAGAGTTCAAGGAGCATTTTGAAATGTTTGATAAAGATGGCGATGGTACAATTACAACAAACGAACTTGGTACAGTAATGAGAAATCTTGGTCAGAATCCTAGCCAGGACGACTTGAAACAGATGATCAGTGAAGTGGACGAAGATGGTGAGTACTCTTCAAATCAATATTCACAACTGAATACTGTGGTCGTGAATATTATATTGTATGTATACTGTGTGAATATTGTATTTTATGTATACTGTGTGAATATTATATGTATACTCTATTCGCATATCGTATTGTATGTATGCTGTCTTGCTGTGTAAATATTATATATATACTGTATTTAAAATATTGTATTGTATGTAAACTGTATGAATATTGTATTGTATGAATACTGGGTGAATATTTTATGTATACTGTATTCTCATATTGTATTGTATGTTAACTGTGCAAATGTTGTATTGTATTTACACTGTGCGAATATGGTATGTTTACTTTTCTGTATGTATACTGTATTCACGACGAATCTAGGGATTTCAAAAGAGGGTTTTATGTGCTATAATTTAAAGAAGCTCAATTGTTAGTCTTCAGGTCTTGCACCTTCTGTGAATCTTTGAATTTCTAAGAAACAAAGCTTTGAGGAACTTTTGCTAATACCGAAAAAACATTTAGAACTTGAAAATCCAATCCTGACATGCAATCATTTTTTATATCTACTTCCGTTTCATTGACAAAAAAGAAGGCCTTGAGAGAGAAACAAAGTTAAAAAATAAAAAGAAGAAATCATGGTTTCTTTCGACTAGTGTTCAGTTCTTTCCAGGCAACGTCTAACACATCCTCTCGAAAATCCTTTTATTGATATATATATTTTAATACCAAGTCGTTTTTCTAGGTGGAGGTAGTTGACTACTTTAATTCCTTGTCCATAGTTTTATTAAAAGATTGCGAGAAAAACGGGCAGAGGCAATTACGCTCACACTTTCTGTAATATCTATTCTTTCTAATGGATACACAAAACCTGTTCTTACCTTTCATACAACTTTCCACAAAGTTGATGTTCTGAAATATTCCTTGTAGAGTAGATGGTTTTTAAGGCAATGTAAAAGCAATTAATTTTTCACATGTTTATACATTGTTAATATTTGTTTGTCATCCAAGCAAGGACAACCATATAGATTTATCATAAATAAATTGATTGATGGCTTTGGTACAAAGCTTTTGTTGTCAGTTAAGGTACACATCTTGTGACGAAATCCGAAGTGCCTGTAAGGTATCCTGTTACTCTTGCATTTACTTATTTTGATAATGAAAGTTACACTTTTATTTTCTTCAAAGGAACTGGAGATATCGACTTTGACGAATTTTGTACGTTGATGGCACGTATGATGGGACTTGACGGTATGGATGAGGAGCCCGAGGCTGAAGAGAGTCACAAAGAGGCTTTTAAACTCCTTGATCAAAGGGGAACTGGACAAATAAGTTCCACGCATTTCAAGGAAATACTTGGGAGTATTTCGGAGAAACTGTCGCAGTCAGAAATTAACCAGATAATAGAGGAGATTGACCCCGATCACGATGGAAAAATCAACTTTTCGGGTACGCATTCATTGTTTGGCGCCTTGCTAAAAGCTTCTCTTATGTCTTTCCATTTGCCTAGAACATTGATGTAGTTACGTTTGGTCAGAAGTTCACCAGGTGCTGGTCAAATTGAACAATAAAGACATTGAACGTTTGCTGAAATAATACAAAAACCAAGTTATTAAGCCTAACCTTACAATTATTCTTTCGCTCTCATCATATTTGCTGGGTAAAAATTGATTTATATATTGAATACCGTCATTAAAAAACATTTACGTAAAAATCTCACAAAGTAAGGTTTCTTCTCTTCTACGTCATTAAGGTAACCAATAGTTGGTTTGGTAATTGGTTCAGGTGACTTTTTTTAAAAGTGTAAAATGGCTTTCTTCGATGTATTCCACTTTACATTCCAGCAACCAGGATAGATTCGTTAGCGGGCAATATATCATATTGGAGGCCTTGACATGAAGCTCTGGTTTCTTGAATATGTTCATTTGTTCTTTCAATCACACCCAGCATTACTTGCTTTAAACATAGTCAGGTCCTTGATCGTTTCCGAATGACTAGAAAAACTGGGTGGAGTATTAAGATAAAATGGTTCCCCTTTGAAAAGCTGTGTAAGGCACAATAATTTTGCAGACTTTGAGGGAGGGGGGGGGGGGTTCCCGTGTATTAACATAACGTCTTATTATAAAACTTTTCTTATTGTAATATAATATGTTGGCCATTGTGTTGTTTATAGTCATTTATAGTGCTTAACATTTACTTCCGATTTATCTTGTTATTTTAGATTTCTGCAAGACGCTGGTCTTTTAGAGCTGCTGTTGCAAATCAGGCATTATTTAAGGAACTCTTTACTATTTTCTTTAGTTTACTTATGTAACTATATCATTACGACTTTTTATCCTGCATTTGAATGTATCATTTTTCAGTATGTCAAGTCTGTTTTACTTTTCCACGCTTCTTCAGGTGTAGCTCAGGGTGCTCGTGGGTGCTCAGCTCCCTTGTTAAAGTTAATAAGATGGGCGTGACCTGCATGTTTCTTCTCCCCCATTACCTTGCTGTTAGCGCCGTCCACTGCTCTGACCACATAATCAAAAGCTTTTGAATGAAAATGTTCTCAAAGTCAGTACCAACAGCAGGTGCATACACTGGAACTTTATAAAAAGAAGACTTCTAACTGGTATTAAGATCGCATCAAATGATTCCAACCATCACACCATTTCCTCCCAGATTTTCTTGAAAATTTCACTAGGGAAAGGTATCAGAAAAAGTTAAAATTCTTGAATGTTTGATCATCTTACTCTAAACGGTTCTCAAGTTCTACATATCTTTAAATTGTATGTTAATAATGTTTTGCTATATAAATCGGCTGTTTTGAAATTAATTTTTTCATACGGAAGGATTTTTTCATTTTTTCCGGGAATTTCAGCTAAGTGCAAGAATAAAAGAAAGTAATAAGAAAAAAGAAGGAATCCGGAAAGATTTTCCAAGAATTTTGAAGCAAATTGTGGAAAAGAGATAAACAAATTTGAAAGGGTCGTCCTCAGTCAGACAGGGAATTCTCCTTTGCATAATTTGCATAATCTATAACCATCACAGGGCCGCCGGACGCAGGTTTGAGATAGAGGGGGGGGGGCAAAAGGAATAAAAAGGGCACAAACATATGTTTTTCGTAACATTGGTTTCTGTCAAAATAGGACAGCTTTCATGGTAGTTCAGAAATTTAGAAAAATATAACACAGTGTAAATGGCTATGTGCTCCATTTAGGAGTCACGCATTCTTGGGCAACCTTAATTGTATACACTCTTTTTTTTATAAGAATAATTTTAAAAGAACACGAGCCTTGAAATTGGTCAAAAGTTAAGAACAAATTAAGAACAAGCTGAGGCTGAGCTTCTGCAAAATGCAATTTTGAACAACGTTCTTTTCTCAAAATCGAAGATTCTTAGCGATGTGGGGGTGCTTTTTCAGTGAATATTCAAATTTGTCAGCAAATTAAGGCTGTCTCACTCACATTGTTGGCAAATGAGGCCTGAACACCTCCTTAGAGCGATAAAGCTAGCAATAGCACTGCTCACACCCTCTTAATTTAAGAACAAATTAAAAACAATCCTGCATCAGATTTTAGAAAAAATTAAGACCAGTCAGCCTGAACTTAAATTTACTGGTTCTTACAAAATAAGAGTGTAACTCCTCATAGACGTTGAATTTTTCGTTTGTGTATATCTTTCATCAACATATGAATTATATTTTTTTAAAATTCGATTAACCCTTACTTTTTTTATTTTTATGGTAAGTGGAGATCGCGGCAGGCACACGTCCTTCCCCCGTACTTATAGTAGGTGCATTATATTCGACAAATATTCCGATCAATTACAACATACCAAGAAAAATATTCCCACATTAATGCAATCATTCATATAAAAGTAACAAAAACTTACAAGTTAAACCAAAAACATTGTGTTCAAAATTGAAAGAAATTATCGAATTTTTAGGCTCTATCTATTTCAAAGTAAATTTTCAGTCTTCATATATTTCAATGCGAGTTTTCACTCTTCCAATATTTAGCAAGACAAAAAATAAACAACTAAATTGCAATCTTTAGGCCATTTGAATTCTCCGAGATTATATACACTGCATAGTAGTACGCTGGTCGACCTACCGTATTCTCTCCAACGAGCGCTCATTAGAGATGGTATTGGAAATTCAGATATTCAAGATGCTACGCCAGTGTTTAAGCAGATCGACGAGGGTTCCGACTCAGAAGAAATTGACATCTTGTAAATTCTTTTAATTTAACAAGTATGATGCAAATGCGATATTATTTTTTTTTAAAAACAATGATCGTTTGAATTTCAAAGCTCAGGTTTTTACTAAGCTACTGTCTTTATTGGTGGATATCTATCTATCTTCCATGTGCATCCCTCTCTGAGGCCAAAAAGTAAAATGAGTTACCCCGGCGTTCATTAGAGAGAATACGGTGTCAAACCGGCCTAGAAACAACTGGCAACACACTGAGGACATTTTTCTCGCCAAAGAGACAGTCTCCTTCGCAGTAGATGTTGTAAGAAATTGAGAATCACTGGAGCAACGCCTTGATTTAAGTTGTTTTACTTGGCTTCTAAAGGAAAAATACCTTGTAACAGAGCTAAAAAGCATCTCCAAGACTAAAATTTATGAAAATACTATACTGCTAAATAACTGATTATTTTATATTGGGAAAAAGGGAGGGGGGATGTCATGCTAAAACTCTAGTGATCTAGTGATTAAGATTGCACATAATTGTGAATGACAGAGGAAAGTGTTGTTTTGATTGGAATAATTTTATTTACTGAACAGAAATGTGCAGTTTCATGTCTCGAGAAGGCCATGTTTGCACATCCAGAATGAAAACATTGTAAGGATAAAGAAAGTGATTTACTGAATTAATGCAGAAAAAATAATAGAAATACCGGATGATTGAGAAGAGATCTGGATCTTGTCTTTACAAGGTATGCAGTGAAGAGGCTTCAGTGCAAGGAAGGTCAACAGCCACAACTGGAAGACTGAAGTGAGGTTTAGAAGAGGAAGCAGGCTGCTCAGAGTATGAGCGTCGAGATAATGCATATGCGTTACCATTGGAACTGCCTGCACGACGAATTAAGTCATATTGTTGCAGTTGCAAAGACCATCGTGCTAGTCTACCTGTAGGATCTTTAATACGCATTAGCCAAGAAAGACTTCCATGGTCAGTGTGGATGAAGAATTTTCCACCAGCAAGGTAAGTTTGATAATGCTACTCAATCTACATTTAAAGAATGATATTATGTCGTTTTTTATCCTAATGCATCCTTGCTCTAAAATGAATGGTCTTGATAATATTCTGTCGGCCCATTACTTCTTAAGCCAGGTAAACCCTTGGGGCGTCACTCAAACCATTTAATATACGGAGTTCCATCCGCAATTAGCAAAATTCACCTAAAAGTATCGAAAAAAATGTGCAGATCCGAAATTGTCAGCTAGAAATGCTGACAAGACCTTAAAAAAGTATCAAAAGCAAAATCTTGTTGTTGAGCACTTAGGAGAACACAAGGTCCCAAGGTTTTTTTAATTGCTAAAAGCCCAGGGCATTGGTTTGGACCCAGTCCTCTTTCCGTCAGCCACAGCGTTGACAGTTCTCGGTACACAATGCACTTGCCCACGCTAGTTAATGAGTTAGCTAGTTAATCGCTCGTGAAGCTATGGTCACGTAAATTGTAAATAGATTTCTTGGGTTGTTATTAAAAAGAAAAACGTCAATTTATGCTATCTCTGCCTCAGAATCTTGTCTCTATACAACACCATTCATTGCAGGACATCACATAACAATTGCATCATTGCGCTGCGATTGCATCAGCTTCTGTAAACTGTATTATTCTTTAGGTTTAGGCTATATAAGGGGTGGTTTTATAATTAGGTTTAGTCTTGCCTTGCCGTAAGATTGTCGAACTCAGTGTACCTTGTCGCTAGCTTGCAGAATTGTGTTTGCCGTTACATTGTCGCCGTTAGCCGTTTAAGATATTCTTAGTCGTTTGGCATGAACTGATGAATTAGAAAAAGGGCAAGAACTTAGAGAATTGGAGAACAGTTTTTGCCGTATTTATCGTGTACGTTTCTGCGAACGACTTACGAACTCACGTCTGTAAAACCCCCTTCAAAGAGGTTTTACACTAGTCACAGTAAATTAGAATGTTTTCTACAATAATCAGTTTAAACACATCTTTTATTCCTGTTTTTGATATTGCTATGTGTTAGTTTGAGCCATAAGTATCAAAAAGGTATATTGTTTAATCAGGTTCAAGAAAGGAACAGATCACAAAGAAATTCTTCCCCATAAATATCGGATGGACCCCCCAGGTATAAAAAGTTTCAAGTGATCCCCCTGGGGGGGGGGTAAACTGCAGCACTTATTATCAATTACAAGTTATCAATCCTCCTTCAAGTCTTGAAAATCCTTTTCGCACGTAATAGAGAACTAAACCTCATTGTGAATTGCAGTTGACGCTTCTTCCGAAAAACTGTAGGGAAATTTGACGCAAGGTACAATTTCACCTAAAGAAGAACTGGTTTTTTATCGTGTCACAATAAATCTGGAAATGATAAATGCTTAGTTTTGCTTACCTTCTTTGGGTGAATAGCGATAAGCAACCAACACAGAAACTACTTTTGCTTGATTCTTTAATGATTTAAAGATGTGAAGGTCCCTGAATTACCTAAAACGTAATTTCCTGAAATTTCCTATTTAGCGACAATTGTTGGGTGAGACACCTAGAATAAAAAAATCAACACCAATTCGAAATCTTACATGAGCACCTCTCTTCATCTGCTCTGCAAGTAAAGCAATATTTGATTCTGAATTTGATAATATTTACAATCCTAATATTATAAACGTAAAAAACAACCTGCATTTTTGTGGATTTTTTTAAAAGATTCTGTTTCCAGTTTCTATTCACACAAGAAAAGAGAAAGCCAGACGCAACATTTTTTTCAAACGTCAGTTTTCTGTAAAATGGGAAGAAATCACTAAGGCCCATTGAGAATTCAAAACATGCTTCTGAGAAAACATTCCTTGCGGAAGTCATGTCAGCCCCCCGGTTCTGGGTACGAAAGAATTGCGTATGAAATCCGTTGACCATATTTGGGCTTTGCACCGATGTGATGTATCATCAATTTCGGACATCTCTCCATCAACTCACAGTTTTGAAGCATCCGTAGAGGTAACAGCGCTGCCGATCCTTAGAAATCATAAGAATAATGATTTTGTTTGAAATTATTGGTCTTGTTCTTCTTTCACTTACTGCCGTCTTGCAGATTGCAGCATTAGCAACAGTAAAATGGTTGACATTTGATGTTGGCATGCAAGCCTGGAGCTACGGACTTTTCAAAGCGTGTGTGGAAATAAGGTCTCTCAGCAACTGCGCTAGTGGCCATTGGTATCCCAACAGAGAAGGTAAGCCTAAAATGTAGAAAGTAGGAAACACCGCAACGCGCCGAGAACAAAGGCGGCGCTAAGACAAATCAATAGTGACGTTTTGCAAATAAAACGTCATTTCAAAAGTCAAAGTTTGAGGAGCAATTCTGTACAAGTAAAATTGCTTGAATGTCTTTTTCTAGGTTTTATGCATTCTCAGAACAACTATAATCTTGAATTCCGTCAATATTGCATTTTGAAGATTTGCTTTTTTCTCGTCAACGAGTACGCTCTCCAGTTTTGATTTTTGATTTGCTGTTCTGCTGTCACTGTTTCTTACTCAACGCACTTGCACTGAGTTTTACTTTAAATTATTTCTTTTTGTGCATTTCTAAGATCCTGTTCCAAGTGGTCGTATTCGCATATCTTTTTTGGTACTTCCCGTACCGTGGCGCAGATCGCAAACGGCACTTCTAGCAAAATAATATTTTCCTTCTAAGTCTCCCGTCCTTCTTTCACCCTGGTCTACAAGAGACCCCATACAGCACACACTGCATGGGCTGATTCCCATGAGGCGAATTTCGCAGCGAAATCGCTGGTGAAGATATCGAGGGGGCGCAGTTTTGATTTCTGATTTCGAAAAGCGTTCTAATTTTACCGCGCGAAATATTTCGCAGCCGCTAATAACCAATGAAAGCATTTTAAATTTTCTTGATTTTATTATCAATACTTATTATATGTCATAATTATGAGAAAAGATTCTATAAACATTCCCCCACGCGTGCTGTCCGTGTTCTGAAAATCGCCGAACCGAGCCTCAGACAATATTTAGTTTTGGGGAAAATCACAATATAATTTTGCGGCGAATTCGCAGTCTGGTGGAAATCAAAGAAGAATTTTGAAACAAATTCGTAGCAAACTCGATGCGAAATTCCTCTTTTGGAAATCATAAAAGGACAGGATCAGGAGTCAAAGTCGGAACACTTCCAAAGCTGTCAACATGATAGCATATGATGTGAATAAAATGCGGAAGAATGCCATCATCATCATCATCATCATCATCATCATCATCATCATCATCATCATCATCATCATCATCATCAACATTGCTAACAATGAGCCATTGCTCTACGTAAGCATCCCACAATGCATTTCTAGACTGTCTAAAATCAATTTTGGTTAATCCGTAGAAAATTACTGCCATTGTTTGGACCGTTGCCACGCTTGCAAAGGCCCATTGCTAGCGATGAGTCTTTAAAATTAAAAGAATTAAAAAACAACCTCATCGTAAGGGGATAAAAGTTCAATGATATAAATGAACCATTCAACAGCGTCATCAGACTATTGCAGTCACAACTATTCAAATCTAACAAAACACACAATGGGAATTTGTCTCCATTGAAAGGTCCTGTTTTACAATTCATTATACTATATAATAATCGCACCATTCACATCCGTCAAATTTTCAAAATTATTAATGCAAAGAACAAAGAATTACAAAATTTATGGTCACAAACCCCTATTCTAGCCTTAAAGAATTTAAAGGACCCTCATGAAAAGCACCCTCGAGTGACTGAGGCCATTCTCTGTAAATATTTGTCTTATTATTATCATTATTATTATTATTTGCTAACAATGAGTCTTTAAAAAGGCATTGTCGGGAAACTGTGTAATACCCCCTGACTTTTATACCAGTATCTTAATCCTGATTGACATTTTTAAAATAGATCAATATATGCTTGTATGTATGCTTGTTTATGTTTTTGAAGGGGAGTTGTGAGCCTAGAGAACCTTTTCGCGGATCACGGATTTATCATCTTACGGAGAAAATTTACTTATTATTGTGTTGTTTTATAGTTATAGTTGTTTTGGAAAATCGGAACCTACACAATCGAATATATTTCTTTTCGAGCTATTCTCTAGAACTTGGTGTGGGGCCTACAAGCGTTCCCAACCCCAAGAAGTTATCTTGTGAAAATATATAACAGGCATATTAATCTCGGTTAACGCCAGTTAACGCACACTGAATTTTGAGCATTTTATGGCATTAAAAGGTGTCGCCATGCCCAGGGCCGCCGAGAGGCGGCCTGGGCCCTGGGGCAAAGTCCCGGTTGGGGCCCTAGAGACGGATACAAAAAAATTCCGGGACCACACCCTTTATAAAATGGGAAACGCCCATTATTTCCAAACGTTGCGCACGTTTGCTTTTTCAGTTGCAAATTGATCAATGATATTGTCGTAATCAATTGGTATTGCTAGTTCGTGCTCGATCGAAAGGGTCACGAGGCTTGAAAGTCTGTCTTGAGTCATTGTTGAACGTAAGCGGTTCTTTATTAATGCTAGTTTGCTGAAAGGGGCCCCAAAAATATAATATAGCTTTATGCAACGAGTCTAAATGCAAACATAACTCACTTGAACGGGTCATAGATTAAAACAAGATTATATGGGCTACCTAATTTTTTATCAGGGCTCCCTTCCACCAATAAGTACGATTTTGCGAAACTCAGGGAAACTCAGCTTTAAAGATGAATCCGTAAAATATGCGATCTAAGGTTTATTCAGCTTTTCTCGGGGCCCCAGACTCAATAAATAAAGCTGATAGGCCTTAAATTCAAACAAGACTCAGTGTACGGACCCAATGAAATTACTGCCATTTTACTGTCTCAAAAGAAGACATTTTAAAAAAAATTTCAGAATTATTTGGGGGCCCCTTTCAGGCCGAGGCCCTGGGGCAAATTGCCCCCCCCCCTGCTCCCCCCTATCTGGGCCACTGGCCATGCCATACACTCTCTACGCTTATTTGTCACATCTAACTCCAATGTTGTTTTTTCTATACGTGGCACATCTTTATAAGGGGATATTTCTTATATATGTCAATCGCTTCATATATGTATAGAAATATTCATACATCTAAAGTATGGTGTATGCCTCTATGGCTACACTATATCTTTTTTATATACACTGCTAGAACACATTCATATACCTTTGTTGGCTTCATCCCTCGACGCATGGGTGAGAGGGCACCAAGGTGTAAAGGAAGATACTGATCATAAATCTCGAAATGTGTATCATTTATCCGACAGTCTGGTTTCACAGGCGACAGGCCCAGTTTCCAGTCTGTTAAATTGACTAAAGTTCTTTCAAATAAGTTCACCGGAACGAGGTCCGGGCGCACTGAACCAGACTTTCTTATTTTTATATTCTATTTGCCAACAAGTTTGAATATTCACTATTTGCCGACAAATTTGAAAACTCACCGCTAAACCACCCCTAGACGGCAAAAAACTCCTCATTTTGAGATGCAATTTTGTAAGGGGGTTTACAACATTCTTAGTAATTACATTTTACAGTAGCTCGGCTTCAGCCTGTTCTTAATTTGTTCTTAACTTTTGACTAATTTTGAGGCTCGTGTTCTTTAAGTTGCCCCTATTAAAGAAAGCTTATACCCTAATTATACGCATAATTTTATTTTGAATTAAAGTGAGTACGTAAATAAGCTAGAAGATGGGGCTAAGTACTCGGTGGAACGATGCCGGGTAAAAGGGTATGTTACATATAACGTTACCAGAATACATGAAAGGCTTACGGGCGGCAAACAAATAGACCCTAACTATAAGAGAAACATAAGCGACTATAAGCACACGAGACTGTCTGAGCATAAGATAAAAGTACTCTTATTTTTTATGAAACTATAAGAAACGAGTACTGGGTAGTCATAAGAAATTTAGAAACTTTAGAACTTTATGAAAATATATGTCCCCAATCTAAGTACAGAAATAGAATGGAAGCGAATCTCTTGACAAACATGTCATGGGTATTTGTTAACGATTGAAAACATCGACAATTGTCTTCGTTTGCTGCTACGAAAACCCTCCCCAAAAGAATTCTGTTGGATAACTTGCTGGCATGAAAAATTAAATATGCGGTAAGACCTGATGACATCATAAAAAGAAACACTTAAGAAGTAATGATTTTTCGAATTTCCAAAATCGCTAAGAAACTAGGGTACTCAACGTCTACCTTTGCTTCTTGACAAAATGTATTGTACAGATTATTTAGTGTTTGTAATTACAATAGTAAACGTACACCAATACAGACCAAAATGAGGCCCGATGCTTGTTTGAATTTTAATGAAAAAATTCATTATCATCGACATGCTTCGAAAATATCGGTCGTCGTTCAAAGAGAGGCAGCGAAAAATAGACTGATATAGTAGCTCAACAATTACAACATTCAATTGAATGTTGCTTGAAAAATTTCTCAAAAATGACTGCGACAATGAGAATGTAGGAAATTCTAAACACGTCATCGAGAAGCCTCTGCTTCAGAACTTCTAGGCAATCGGTCACATACGAAGCTGCTCCGGAACGTGACCTACCAATCTCATCCCTTCTTTTCGTTTCTCTCCTGCAAAGCAGCATCTGATTTCAATAGTGACCTTTTGTATCTTGTTATATGTGTATACGCTAAATCAGTCTAAAAATAAAGACTCCACTAATTAACATCTGTTTAAACTCCAGGTGATCTGAATGCAGTCAGGGCAATGTCTGTAATTGCATTCCTCCTGGTGGCGGAAATGATATTGACGTTCCTCATTTGCAAGTTTGCTTTGAAGAAGAAACCAACAATCCCCTTAGTTATAAGTGGAGTTGTCGCAGGTAAGAGATTTCTTCATATTGATTGTCATTATTACTATCAGTCGAAATCAATCAATCAACATCAATCAGTCATGATCAATCAGTCATAATCCATTACTCAAAATTAATCAATTAAAAAAAATTAGTAATAATCATTCAGTCACAATAAATTAGTCTTAATCAATCAGTTATAATAACTTAGTCATGATGAACTAATTATAATCAATCAGTCAAAATCAATCAGTCACAATCAATTAGTCATAACCAATCAAGTCACAATCAATTAGTCATGATGAACCAATCATAATCAATCAGTCAAAATCAGTCTAAATTAATCAGTTACAATCAATCGGTCATAAAAAATTAGTCGTAATTATTCATAATTATCCTCCTACCTTATCATCAAAATCAAAACCATCAATCATGATAAATCACCATTAGTAACAACCATGATCAATGGTAGTAATCAACTATCATTATTATCATCCTGACCTTCAATCATTAACTACTATTATTATGGATCCCAATCATCAACCATAGATCGTAAAAACACTGCCTTTTCTCTATCATATCACCTTTTTGTTCCTGATAATCCCCTTGTATTTTAGTCTTCGTGCAGACTCGAATCAGAGACAAATTTATCCAAATGAAAAAATTAGCCTGACTACTGCAATTGCCCTTTCTCCTACCAAATTTTGTATTTATTTGAAAACATTTTTAATATTTTAGCAAAACTTCATTTCTTGCACTAGAAAAATTTTCAGCCAAATTACAAAATTTATACGATTTTCGGGAGTTAGATTTTACAAGATAGCCTTATTAAAAAATTTCGTATAATAAAAGCGGTAGAAGAAAGCCCAAAATCTTGTTTGGACTCTATTTCGTCAATAAACACCATAACTAAAATTGCTTGAGTCGCTTTTAAATATGCTTCAATAATAATACATATTGCTTGTTTTGGTAGGTCTATTTCAAATCATCGCAGTCGCTGTCTTTGCTGCTAGATTGAAGCCAGAAGGCAATGACCTTGTAAAATTCGGTGCTTCGTTTTATGTCGCTTGTGTGGCAATTGTCACAATCATAGCAGGCACTGTCTTCGCTGGCATTGGAACAAAGAGAAGTGATTAACTTTATCACCCAACGGAGACATTTCTATTAAAATTTGACTGAGCATATCTTTTTGTATTTTCTCTTTAATGAGTCATATAATCAGGAATGATCAAATGTGACTATTGATGATTCCTTTCTCGTTAAGTCATTTCCCAAGAACTGGCAGTTTAGGAGATGTATTGGTATTTGAACTGTATTGTTGGGAAGACGAGTCTCGATTCCATTTGTTAAAGGGTATTGTTTTATCCATTTGTACGAACCAATGGGAAAAATGCATCATATGCCAATGCGCTTAGGATCGAAGGTTTCAGAACAAATTACTTTCTCAATGCGCATACGATGCAAAAGTTTTAAAGCCAACGGACCTTCGAACAAATGTCTTATCGTCTTTCCAATGTCTATGTAGTGCTTGTAGCAAACTGTAATTGACCAATCCTTTGTTGCACGTTGTGCATCACAATCAACTACACAAATTTAATATTTCAACTTTGAAAGTTCATTGTCATAAATTTATAAAAGCAATAGGATTACAAGGCTTGCTCCATAATATTTTTGAATGATGTTTTTTATTCAGAATATTTATTCGGTCAAGTAGTAGCTGGACGATCTAATCAAGTTGCATCTGCAGAAAATACAAAGGAGAATACAAAGGAGAGCAAAGGCAACTAACTTTAGTTGATGTAGCAGATAAAATAGCAGAAAGGGGCACGTGACGATGTACTTTTATTAGATTCAACATATTCAACAAAAGTTACCTCCAAAGATGTGACAACCGTCAAAATTTGAAATCTTTAAGTTTATTAATCTTTAAGTTATTTAACACTGACGCTCCGAAAACAAAGGAACAATCAGTCCTTAGTGCGTTGTCAGCTAAAATCTTAGAACTGTAATCATCCTTTTGCTAGGTGTGGTTGAAATGGTTTGCACGGGAAAAAAACATTGCAATTAACAGTAGCAATTACACAAACACATCCTGTTCGGGTGGCACACGTGTTAGAACTGACTTATATGGTGCAGGTTAATTTTTCTTATACTCATCGCAGCAAATCATGCAGCCATAAATTCTAGACTTCCATGTTCTCCTCCTGGTTCTTTCTTCTGAACTGTAGACGAAGGCACTTTGAGCAGCTCCTATCCTTTCTGCACTTCTTATGATAAACAGACTGACAGCGATGACACTAGAACGACAGAAGGCAGCTTAAACAACGATAGAAAGATTTTATATAGAAACAATTTTGTCAACGGGTTAAGGGTGGCTCAAAGTCCGGGAGGGGGGGAGGTGGATTTTTCTGCGCGAATTTTGAATGTTTTCCCAGAAATGTACCCTATTCCAATTCTAATCAAACATTGACATTCAAGAAGAGAGAATTAAACTATTTCACGCTCTAACAGTAAAGTAGATTAACAGATATAACTTAAACTTTCTTACTTATTAAAAAGAAATAAAGGAATTTTTTGAGTGAGAGTTGGGCTAAAGTTCTACAAACTCCAACAACGTAGAAAAATTTTCAAAACTTCCCGACAAATTGGGTGCTTAAGGAGTTGACTAAATTGATAGTCTATGAAAATAGGTTCCAAGGGGAAAAAGTTCAGCAAGAAGAAAGGTACTTACCTGAACAGTTGTAAGAACTTCAAACGGATAAATGATCTTGTCACTACTGCAGAGCTCGCATATGAATCCCTTTTGACTACAAAGCTAGAAAAAACAACATTTTTAACTTTTTTTCAATTATAGGACAGTACAGAACTTCAATAAGTAAAAAGATATTTGCAATAGCAACCATTAATTTATTTATCATTAAGGCTGTCACATAAGGGATCTTTTCTGTTGTCTCAACGGGTGGGTGAACTATCTGCTCTAATGACCAACTGACTGCAAAATACAACCAATATAGAAAAATATCACCACAACAAATTTTCTTCTTACCGTGCACTTGTACACATGCTTCGTGAAAAAGGATATAATTTTTCGTAGATGGTTGGTAAGTTGCCCAGTGTGAACTTGAACCAAGTCCTGGAAGAAAACGTTTGAAAAAAATAAAGAAGAAATAGGATTTTGTGTGTTCACTATGGCTAAGAGAGGTGTAAGGAAGGAAAATTAAAGTTGACGTATAAAATAGCTACAACCTTTAAGTAGCCAAAGCATGGTTTTCAAGCAAATAAACTTGAATCACATGGCCTCAAAATTTTTACGATAGAAAAAGAAGGTTATACAAACAAGGCCTTTGCTTTTCAAAGAAAATGACATCGAAAATGCATCCTTTTCTCTCGCTTTTATTGGGAACAGTTTTCTCTACTACTAAGTCTTACATAAGGCCCACCGAGAGAAGTAGAAGTTACACTCTTTCGATGGTCACAGCGAAATACTAAGCAGGGGGTTAGCAAGTAGGGCGCCCAGGGGCCGGTGCACCCAGTAACAACCTGAGCTATGCCAAAATATTCGGGCTTCACTGTAACAAAAAATTAACTGTACCACTTCCTTTTAATGAAAAATTGAAATGTAAGTCAAGGGTGGTGAGGATGTTTTAATAATTAGTAAGCAATTACCAATGCCGAGTATTGATGAATATCATCGCACAAGTATTCTCTTGGCCATAATCTGAAAAAAGATGAGGTTGAAGCATGAAATGGTTTCTTCTATGATTTATTCCAGCGTTATTGTGAAATTACTGGTTGTTGGTTACTGGTTATTGCGACCTCATACGGCAGTGTACCGTGTTTTCTAATATTCTGCAACAGGATTCAAGGTATTGAAAACCTAATCAGTTTTCCTTTGACTTCTTTTACGTACTGCAATTCTGTTATAATATTGACTATTTGAAGAATCTATTAAGAACAACAGATGTATCTTTGAATTGATAAAAGATGCCCTAAGCTCTACATCGATTTATCGATTGTGTTTCACTGTAAAATAAGTTATACCCACCGTTTTCGAAAATCTTCAGCTACATCATTCTTGCATGTTAGGATGAAACCCTTCAAATGCTGCAACTGGATTCTTAAAATCTGCAAAAAAATTGGCTGCTATCATTTATATTAGATGGCTGTAATTCATGAAAAATACCAATACACAAAAACCAAGACACAACTTTTTGTTTGGGGGGGGGAGGGGCAGCCCTGATAAATAAGTATCACAACAGCAATATATCCAAAATATTTTACTTGCGCAATTTAAGTTTTTCGAGAGGGGGAAGCCCCCAAGTCCCCCACTATCTCGGTCCTTGCATAGAAGGTCTTAACCCAAAGCAAGCAATGTTGTCCTTCCAAATGTTGAAATTTCAAAGATTTAAATTTGAGTCTGTTTTGATTTCTCGTTCTGTAAGTACTGGGCTCTAGAAATGCTTTTTATGAACAATTTTATTCTATTCGCAAAAATCTTGCCGTAAGTGAAGAAATTTTGGGGTAGTAAAAAGAAGGAGAGCAAAAGAACATGCCCTTAGAATAGTTTGGGAAAGACAAATTCTAAAAAGGGGTATTAAAATGTGGCTCTGCAAATTGGTACTAATTGTATTGCAGGGGTGCCAACTTGTGAATACAAGCCTGCAAACTGAATATTTAATAGCATTAAATGCATAAAATATAGGAATAAAGCACTGTCTTAGTTAAGGTAGAGGACAGAAGACAATGGTGAAAGGAAATTCCTTTTCAGGGAACCTTTCCGCACTCTCTTTATCCCAACTTCCTAGTAGTTCATTTAGAAGTTACAAATGAAATCATTTGAATCATAGTCTTTAAAACCACTGCTGCACACAAACCTTAACCTCATTCAGGCTTTGAACAGCATTGTACAGCGTGGGGTTGACTTCATCGATGTGAAACAAAGGCTCTTCTTCAATCTTCATCAAGAATGATTTAGTAACCTTGGTTACTGGAATCAAAGAGATAAGTATTCAACATCTCTATTGAATTCAATATGTCTTCTAGTGAGGAAATTTTACCAAATTACTTCCTGTTAGCTCTAGGAAATAATTTTGTGGCAGGAAAAAAAGCTCCTTAGTTTCGTGGGAAAACTAACCAATATGATTCAGGGGGAGACCAATGCGGAAAAGTTGAAGCGCTGCAGGATTGATTTGATATGTTCTTAATTCCTGATAAGAAGGAAGTTGAGAAAAGTCATGTTTTTAGTTTAAAAGCCACAATCTTACACTCTTTTCTTTTTATAAGAATAATTTTATCAGAACACGAGCCTCGAAATTGGTCAAAAGTTAAGAACAAATTAAGAACAAGCTGGGGCTGAGCTACTGTAAAATTTTGAACACCGTTTTATCTCAAAAACGAGGAGTTTTAGCTATGTGTGGGTGTTTCTTCGGTGAATATTCAAACTTTGGCAAATGAAGGTTGTCTCACTCACTTTGTTGGCAAATGAGGCTTGAAAACCTTCCTAAAGCGAAAAAGCTAGCAATCGCACTGCTTACAGCCTATCAATTTAAGAACAAATTAAAAACAATCCAGCCTCGGATTTTCGAAAGAATAAAGAACAGTCTGCCTGAACTTTAATTCACTGGTTCTTATAAAAAGAAAGAGTAAAGTTGAAATGAAATACAATCCAACAAATTCTTTGGTTTGTTGACAAGTATCTTTCCAAAGCCTGTCACAACTGTTGACAACATTTTTTGGCAAAAAGGTCACTGTTTTGAAATGCAAATAACGCATCAAAAGCTTGACAACATAATATCCAGCTTTTTCCAATATCTTTGACCCAGGCAAGAAAATACTGTCTACATCTAAAAAGGAAGTTAAGTATTGCTTATCCGCCCTTCCAGAGATCTCTATACCCAAAGCGTCAGCTGATACTTTTTAAGATAATTGTAAAATGTTCTGCCAATATATTTGATACGCTGGGTCCTGCAAGACGGAGGAAGGACCTCAAACGCGTTGAATATTCTTGCAAATCATGGGCCAAGTAGCTAAAAATGGCTTATCGTTACCACTCGGGGGGATGAAGGCCACCATATATCAAATCAAAGCTTATTTTGTGTAAATTTAAAAATATACGATGGAAATGTTTTCATAGTAGATTAAAGGTCTCACGTGACCTTGAATTCCGCAAAACCAGCATAAATTGATAATATACTAAAATGTAGCTTTTGGCCAGTAATTCTTCATATTTCACACAAAATGAAACATTCTTAGATTTAATATGATGCATGTAAGATAAATTGCCACTTTTTAAAAACGGATAACTAACAATGTGAGTGTGACGTCACTTTCGGTCCCACTTCCGGTCCCAAAAATCTTAAGTTATTTCTCTTAATTTGTCTTCTTGAATATGATTGAAAAATAGAATTGAAAGTAAATTTAACATAAAAAACATCACAAATTTAACTGTGTACCCTGATTCATGATTCGCATCAAGAAAAATCTTCTAGTACATGAATGTCTTGATGAGATTGGTACTCTAGCTGATGAACTATCACGATAAGTTTCTGATGTGCCGAATTTTCCCGCGTTATTCTTCACTTTTTGCCGAATACGCGGATCTTCTCCGCAATACCAATGTGTCCCCTATCAGCATACTGGATGTCCTGCATAGGCATGGTTGAACTACTTCTTCAGATGATTCGTGCCTCAAGAGGAGGTTATTGGGAGCCTCATCTCTCTTGTATCCGCCAGATGCTTCCTTGGTGCTTTGCATACAACGCAATCACTTACTTGCGATACATGTCAGCTTATTAAAGCGATATGACAAGACTGCAAGATGATCATCTCGAAATATACGAATTCATGGGAAACGGCGGATTTTCAGTCCAGCTGAGCAAATAAAATACATTTAGAAGAATTCCCGTAGACCAAACCTTTGAGGAAATAGTAAATAAGGATACCCAAACACCTGGGGGTACCAAAGGCTTCAGTTTGAGACCTGCTGCAGTACAAAGATACTACTTGATGGCAGAGTTCCGAGCTTTATTCCTGCGTAATTTGCGCGAAATGGTTGGCTATGCTAAAGGAAAGCATGGTCATGCCGATCTTCAATCGTCGCGCAATGCCCAAGATGAGAAAGATGTTACCGCCATGGCTGATTTGATAAAGAACTGTACAGATCCATTTGCAGGCCATGAACAGCTTTCTAGCATCTCAAAAGGAGCTGTTGCCACCACAGCTATAGCAGAGGACCTTGCAAGTGCCTTCAATGTTGGAGAGGCAGCCTATGCGGAATTCAAGAAGACCCGTCTATGACACGCTGAAGAAGCAAAAGTTGAAAACATTTAATGCTTTATCGACAACCAAGAAGGTGGCAAAGAACAAAGACACCGTAAACGTTCTTTGTGCGGATCGAAATTTGTTTGCTCGGATGATTATAATTGCTGAAACCCGAAATCTGCAAATGCAAGATGTCTTAAAGCACCCATTAGGCCCTCTTCCAGCTTCCTTGGCCTTTTAAAAGGTTTTCCAAATTTTCCAGCAAATCCAAACACGCAGTTGAGACAAAATATCTTCCGCATGAATAAAGAAAATTGGGATTCTTCGCCTTCACAACTTTTAACCTCGTCCACTTTCTTCCCTTGCCAGCAGTTGTGCGGCACAGTAATCTAACATAGTGTTTACAGACTTTTCGTGCCGCACAAATATGTGAAAACTTGAATTTTGATTGGTGAGATTTGGTAAAATATTTGCATAACAAAGAGCCCTGTACGGTGGCCCACAGGTGCCACGGCAAAACTTACTTTCTCACGGCAAAACTTTCTTTTTCACGGCAAAACTTTCTTTTTCACGGCAAAACTTTCTTTCTCACTGCAAAACTTACTTTCTCACGGCAAAACTTACTTTCTCACGGCAAAACTTTCTTTCTCACGGCAAAACTTTCTTTCTCACGGCAAAACTTTCTTTCTCACGGCAAAACTTTCTTTCTCACGGCAAAACTTTCTTCACGTGTTGTTGTGTACGTGATACTTAGATCTAATCAATGCTTTAGACGTTTTAAACTTCGCAGAATTTACGAATACCTACATCTTCTCTTGATAATTCTTGCAGAAAGACAGCCCAGAAATGTTCTAAAATTTATCTAGGTTAGGCTAGGCTAGGCCTATATGCCTATCTCAACGAAACAGTACCGCATGCAAGGTCTTTGATTCCTTTGTTTTGAAAGCAGTGAAAAAGATCAATTCGTTGAAAATTGGCGTGCACATAAAATTCGTGCAAAAATATCACGTACGTGCACTTGGCACGCTCGATTGTGGCTTGTAAAAAACCTATAAATTGGGTATTGTGTTTAATATCATATCATATCGTATTACTCACAGGG